ACGTTAAAGTCAAAATGACTTTAATTACAGATAAAATTGGGGTAATATTTTAAGGGGAATTCAAATCTGCAATAAAAAATGGAGGTCCCATAAAATTATTTTCCTCCCTCCCCTACCCCCAGGAGCGGTGAGTAGGGGATGGATTTTGGTATCATCAGATATCCCCTGCCGAAACAACTTTTATTACCCATTTTTTGTCCGATGTGCAGTGTTCAAGATATTTGATCCAATTTAAAAAAATGGCCCACCTGCATAGTAAATTACTTCCTCGAACACTTTTCTTATCTTTAAATTGTTTCCACGTTGTCTTTAAAAGAATGGCGCTGATCTATGTTTTGTTGTACTCTTTGAACTTTCAAAGTTAACAAATTTAGAAACAATGCGAAAAAGTATGCGCTGTTGTTGCACTACTAGTTTAAATATTTTATCAACGAAAACTTTCTTAAACTTCAACTCCAATGTTCAAATCCCGCCAGGTGAAATTATATCAGAAGGTGAATGCTTCAGCATAGCATTAACTACACGTATGTTGAGTTAAATATGCATGCGTGCCGGAAATTGTGAGAAAAAATAAGGAACACAGTCACCGATGAATATGTGTGATTACTCAAATTGCCTATGTGTCCTGTGCTACAAAGGAAGAGAATCACAATAAAATGACAGTACTCCTCTGATTCACCACTAAGAGTATCTTTCGTAAGACTTGACCTAAAGCTTGTATATTTCCCCACTCTAATCTCTTCATATCACATACAGTTTTTTACTAATTTTTGACGATAATTAAAGAAACTAATAGTACTAGCCCTTAAAACAATTTAAAGAAAACAAATAGTAGCAGTTTTTGTATGCGGAATTCCGACGGCTCTTTGCCGGAACTGACGAACGTTTTGCCGTAAACCATTTTTTCTGTATCCACTAACAAATCGTGTATTCTGTCTCCACAACGTGTTAGAGCACGTAGTGTGCTACACTTTGGAACAATACTTATCCAAGTTGTCTGTCGAAGCATTGCATAACTCGCACTTACTAACCAAAGAAGAGAAAGAATTGTAATCGTGTGCCTGAAAACAGCGAATTTTCGACACCCAAAAACTCTTATTGCCGGGACATGGTAAGGCAAAAGTGGATAAATCAAGTTGCTAAATATATAAAAATAATTCTCTTATATGTGGTGTAGATAGAAACTATGTTTCGTGGGTCCTTCATATCGAAAAATCGATTGACGTCAAAACGTCTGTTCGTCCGTCCATCCGTCAGTGCACACCGCTAGCGCATAAACAGTTCAGCCAATTTTCTGCAAAACTGATATTCCAAAATGTTGTTCTAGCTGATGTCGCGGACTCTGGAATTTGAAACCGCAATTTTAATTTTGGAGTATTTTACATGAAGCACCCATTTTCAAAATGTAAAAATAAGGCTTAATGTTTTGGTTAAATTTTGTTGTTAAATAGTGCAAAGGACATTTAAGAGAATGATCCAGGTCTCATTTTTGTTGAAATCCACAATTTTTCGAAAATTGAAAGAAAAAGATATTTAAATCTTTAAAATTTGAGATAGAGCTTTGTTTTAGACAAAGTTTGTTGTACAAAATCAGCTCTTTGAAAAAGGTCATGTATATTTTTTTTTAAATTAGTAGTTTTGGCCTGTTTTGCGATTGAAATTTACAATTTTTTTCTCAAAATCCGCTTTAATATTTTTCTTTAAATTTTCTTCACTTAAGGAATAAGAAACGGTAAGGAATATGGCACAATCCTCAGGTATTGCTCTTTTTTTCCGAAAATTACAAAAAACTTTTCAAACTGCAAAGTTGAAGATAATGATTTTGCGTCAGACGTCTGCTGTACAAAATAACCTCTTTAAAAAACCTCACGTACAATTTTTTGTAAAAGTAAGTGATTTTTTCGTAATTTATGTTTGAAATTAACGAAGTATACATCGGCGTCCCGTCGTAACGATAACATTGTAATATTGTGAGAAAGTATGTGCTGTTGGAGCACCACTAGTTGTTTATTATTTACAGAAAAAATGTTTTGGATACGTAAGAAAATAATAAAACAATAATTTTATATGATTTTCCCCTCTGTGATAAAATCTTATTTCCTTTACTATTCAGAATACGTAACCAATTTGAAATATTTTCATTCACGACAAAAAGGTAGGGAAACCCATCACTCTTTTTCACGTAACAAATAGTAGTTCTCCGTGCCCGATCAAATCGGTAGCAATTGCAGCAGGTAAAATGCCAAACAGGAGGCGCAAACACGTAAAAAAAAGACTGCACCCAGAGCATAAATAGTAGTCCTCTCTGCCCTTCCTCATTGGGCGTAGGCTGTTCCGTGCAGTGCTTTCGCGTGCGAGAGCTGGTTCGCTGGTGCAGTCTTCTGAACGTGGCTGCCCTACGTCACTCGCGAGATAGCGGTAAACGCATGCTGCCTTTCGTTCGCGGCGCGAGGGCATCAGCTCGCTGCCGGTCGCCCTGCCGCACCATTCTTGCAAAATTCCACTCGCGCCACTCACGACCGCAAACTAACCCGGTTGTTGCCAGAAGAAATGTTTTTATTATTTTAGAGTCAACGTATTCAGATTTCACTGTCACTTAGAAAGTACATACTAATATGAAAATCGCGCCCCTGTAAGTTGTATAAAAAGTGGCATATTGTTTGTCTGTCGCATACAAATGCTACCGGAGAACTCCCTAAGGCTGAGTGGGTGTCAACACCGTACCTTATATTATATTTATATATAATTCTGGAAAAAATGTATATATTTAATAAATAATACTAAATACATTTAATAATACAATCTTTTTCTGTAAGTTTGTGTTAAAATATTTTCAGTTTTTGAAGTATAGAAAAGGCATATACATTTTGAACATTTTCTTTGCATGCGGTCTTTTCCGCGGTGTGTGCGAAACTAGTTCTACATTTACAAAGTTCTTTTGATTCATTTGAGTCATGGCGACGGTTTGGAATTTTCGTCTGAACATTCAATAAGCGTTGGAAGATACGAAACTATCAATAAGACTCAAGAAGTATTCTAACAATAACAGTCCTCAACGATGAAAAAGAAACTCTTTACATCAAGAAACATACAGGAAAAACTAGTGATGCTATAACAAATACTTTCTCGCATTATTTCTAACTGGCACAGTGAGATGCTGCTGGCGGGGCCATTTTTTTCGAGCGTTCTTTGTTCTATCCCCAAAATAAAATGAAGAAAAAAATTGCGAACGGTTTTTGAAAAACAATATTATTTTAATTTGCATTCACACAAAGCACACATTATGCGCAAATTACTACTTTTCTAAAAAGTGTAAAACCTTTTCTAAAGATCTAGGAGTTGTAGGGCGTATTTTGTTTACTACAAAATCTCTATCTTCAAATTTGTGAGTTTTGCAATGCTATCATTTGGATTTTTTTTTAAATACAGGAAGTTCACCAGAAATGCTACCTTTTTTACGATTTTTTGGTTTATGCGGAGAAAAAATTTTTAAAAATTTAAACCCTTTTGAGAATATACTAATTGTTTAAAAATTCCCTATATTTTACGCAATATTATGCGAAAACTATTCATATTTTCGAAAACTTGTACCCGACCTTATTTCATGGTTTCTTTTATCCGCATTTTTTATTAAGAAAAAATATTTATTTACAACGTAGGTAGAAAAACGCCGAAAAAATTGAACGTTTGCAATTTTCGACAATAGAGATTTTGACGCAAATGAGACCTGAGCCAATCAATTAAGCTCCTATTGAACTATTCGAGAACAAAGTCTAATAAAATATTTTGGAGCTGTTTTTGAGATAATTTTGAAAATGTTGAGATTTTAAGTAAGAAATAAAATATCTATTTCTAACTCACAGATCCTTAAGTTCCTTCAATCGATCTGGGCAAACTCCTTTGCCTGAACTGTTTAGATGCTATCATTGACCACGGATGGGCGGACGGGCAGGCAGACAGACAGACAGACAGACAGACAGACAGACAGTCAGACAGACGGACACACACTGGTAGACAAATTGGCAGACTGACTGTCCGGCATATTGACTGTCCGGCATATTGATATTGGATTGTATTGAATTAATGCCTTATTTTACGTGGCGAGACTCAGGCCATTAGGCCCGCTCTTCCGTCTGACCACGCAAATTTCGCTACGCTCCTTTCATCAACTAGCAGAGATAGGAGGTATTTTTTGGGCGAGAAACAGGCGATTTGAATTTAGCTCAGAGGCGTCATTTAGGCTTGAGGATCTTTTACATGCAAGTAAATCTACTAACATGGGACGGCCGGCTTTACTTCCCCTCCGAAGGAAGGCGTACGAAGGAATTTTTCGTCCTTAGAAATGCACGGCTTTGATCGGCCAACTTGGGTACAACAGTCAGGTACGCTAACCGTTACATCATCGCCGCGCTATTTGATTGCATATTGATTGTCCGGCATATTGATTGTCCGGCATATTGATTGTCCGGCATATTGATTGTCCGGCATATAGATTGTCCGGCATATAGATTGTCCGGCATATTGATTGTCCGGCATATTGATTGTCCGGCATATAGATTGTCCGGCATATTGATTGTCCGGCATATTGATTGACTGGCATACTCATGAGGACTCATAAAAGATGGATTTTGAATGCACAACGGGATTTTCTATGTATAAAAACAATATTTATCCACGTGTTCATTACCAGGACTCGGTATTAAGACTTTTCTGTCGAAAATTCGCCGTCTCAGCGCACGATTAAAATTCTTCTTTTTCTTCAAAGGTAAGGGCAATAAAGTAAAATCTGTTTGGGATCTACCTTTGATACCCTCCTGTCATTGGTATGCGATTGGTAAGACGATATCAGTACCGTAACCCTCCAGTTACCGGATAAATTGAAATGTCACTTGTATATTCCAGAATCAGTGTGAACTGCGCAGCAGTCAGTCACATCTACCTGTTTTGAGGTCTGTCGGCTTTCTGCTTGCGCTTGAGTTGAGTGATTGGTGTGTTCACAGCGACGGGCCCTTGGGCAGCAAGGGCGCCATGGCCGTGTACGTGGAGGGCGTGGTGGGCATCCTGGTGTTCTACGTGGCGGTGCTGGGCGTGGGCATCTGGGCAGGCACCAAGCAGAAGAACAGCGGCGAGGAGGAGGTGATGCTGGCGGGCCGCAGCCTCGGCCTCACGGTCGGCGTGCTGACAATGATAGGTGAGTCTCCTTCACTGAAACCCGCAGCTTTCCCTCGACCCAATATCCGAACGGGAGTCTTTCTTAATCAAGTGTAGTGCGCATTACAATGCGTCGTGATTCAAAAGTGTGTACGTCTTCAGATAGGTGATCTGGGCTGTCCGGGTGACGCCGCGTCGAAGGCTGAGTTGCCGACGTTTCGACCTTCCTGTCGTGGTCTTCCTCAGGGCTGGTATGCGTACCAGCTGGCATACCAGCCCTGAGGAAGACCACGGCAGGATGATCGAAACGTCGGCAAATCAGCCTTCGACGCGGCGTCACCCGGACAGCCCAGATACCCCACATGACTCTGGCCGCGGAAGCCTACGACTTCACGTCTTCAGGTAGTTGGCTTAAGTCATCTTATCCAACTAATCGCTAACTTGTTTCCAAATTGACTGGGTTTGCTCGAGCATTTCCAAGTCCACAGCGAGACGCTGGACTTTGCCCTCCGAGATTAAAATGCATTCTGAAATATACCGTCATAAAACAAAACATTCTGAATCCAGTTGATCCAAAATGTACATTATTTACCATAATTTCTTGCATTTGATACAATAAAAGATGCTTATCTTGGTCGAATTTCTTCCAGTAACTATTGAATACGCATGTACCTCACTTGTTCCATTTTCGCATCTGCTTTAGCTGCTTGTCGAATACGTACTCGCGTTCCGGACTCGGAAATAATTTATTTTTGTTTAAATAAACTATTTTAGTTTGAATGAAAATTATACTTAAATTCTATTAGTATGTGTGCAAACGTTTATAAATTTTAAATTTCAGAAGTTTCTATGTAAGCGGCATTAAGATTCTTTAAACACTGCTCCGACCAATTCAAACGAAGGAATAAATGACAAAGTTTCTCGGTAATATTTTGAAATTCATATTTGGTGTTTTTATCGTCGCATGAGATAGAAATGAAACATCTCTTGTTGATATTGAAACTTCTAATAATGAGAGAATACTTGTCAGCACCAAACCTTCACAAAATTAGCAAGATTTATCGAACACCTTTGAATGAAAGAACCATATCTTGAACAGCATTGAGAAAGGCCATTTTGTAACCCCCTTTGTTTCCCATGTACGTAACATCAAATAATAACAACAAATGTGTTGTACGTAATTTCGGAAACTAGTAATCCTCATTTCAATGGAAATATCCCACGCACAATATAAGAATCGCTGTGTCCCGAGCCATCAGTCTTTTTAAAAGCGTTTTTCAAGGGCAGATGGGAAATGTTACTGTTTTACTCTTCATTTAGAAGATTTGAATTCTAAAGAAGTCATATTTATGTAATGTAATAGATTATATACTACCTTGCTGTATTACGTGTGGTCGTCCAGTTACTCTTTTGTAGATAAATAATTAACTGTTGACTGTTTCTTAGTTTTTACATAAATTTTGTGAAATTCTAAAATTTTTAAGCTGGTAGTAAGCTTGTGTTTTTGTTTTGATTGTGCTTATATTGATTAGCTTTGAAGCAAGTATTTGTAAACGAAGTCCTAGCACGAATTCTTGCCAAACAGGTAGGCAGAAATATCAGGCTTATCAGCTTTGTATTATTCATAATGGAACTAGAACTTGCCACTTCGTACCGGATAATTGCCGCTTCGTAATTCGTAACTTTTTTTGTTGCAGCCACGTGGGTTGGAGGTGGCTATATCAACGGCACTGCAGAGGCCTTGTTTTCGTCGGGTCTGCTGTGGTGCCAAGTGCCGATAGGCTACAGTCTCAGTTACCTCTTCGGTAAGTTGAAAAAACGTTCATAGTATTGTTTAACTGTACGGGTTTGATTTCTTATGATTTTTAGTTATTTTTGTATTAGTTGGTATAGCTTTTTTAACGTTACTAGAACGTTACGTTTTAGGTTACATTCAGATTCGTAAAGGTTCTAATAAATTGGTAAATGGGTATTTCTCTAACTTTTGTTGATGCTATTAAATTATTTTGTACGGAGCCAACTTATCCTATGATATCTAATTATTTAATTTTTATTTTGGTTTAGTGATTACATTATTTTTATCTCTTTCAATTTGGTTGATTTATCCTTTGGGGTATGAATTAGTTTCATTTGATTTGGCGTTATTGTTTTTTCGTTGTACGGGGAAAGGGGTTCATTCTATAATATTGGCTGCTCGGTCATCCAATGCTATTTATGCTTTATTGGGTGATTTGCGGGTAGTAGCTGAAACAATTTCTAATGAAGTGATTATTGGCACTTCCATCTATTTAATATATTTAGAGTTATGGGATAATTATAATAATTTTGTGCAAACAATACGTGAAGCTATATATAGAAGCTATATTTACGTCCAGAAGCAAAACAAGTGTCCATCTCAGCATTTTCTTAATGGATCAGGTCAGTGAAACTGGACAAAACCTGATCGAGTCATTAAATTCGTGTTTTAAAGTGAAACCCTTTCCACTATGTCTCAACCTTGAACGTTTTTGACAACGCGTGCTACGGAGTGGGGAACCCTTCAATCAGATATTTAAACGTTCAAGGCTAGGTAGAATGCACGAGTAGAACGAATATGAACTATTACGGACACAAAAAACGACTTTTTAATGGCATCGATTCAGAGTTATGCATGTAAGTAATGAGTAGAGGCCGGAGTTTTAGGGACAAGCTTTTTGCAATTTAGGTGCTAAAATAGGCGCAAAAAGTTTTTAAAAAGGTGTAAATAGCAATAAAGAAAAATAGAAATAAAAAAGCCAGGTTCCCAATACGCTTTGCCTGTAGGTGCATCACCTAAAAATCCGTTCCTTAGTAATGAGATACTAAGAAGCGTGCCTTGCTGGTTGCGTGAGCGCCGGCTGCTTTGTAAATTGATCTGTAGAGTTCTATTTCTTTTTTGTTTCAAATCCGCTTGATGATCCCAGAGGGAGTAATTCCTTATCCAGCAGACGTTCATTTCTGGGGCATTTCGTGGCGTTACATACGTAGTACAGAAAAGTCCCCTTTCCTTACCTTAATAATAAATTATTAAGTTCACGTAGAAGGTTTTTATTCATACTTTAAATCCACATTTTCTAGTTTTCTTTGGAACTTTTCTTACCAAAGTAAAGAACAAGCAAATTCTGAATCACAGATACGAAACTGCAAAAATCGCCAAGTCATTCACGTAGGTTGTAGCAATAACAATTACAATTCGAGTTTTTCTCTGGGCAGGGGTGCTGCTGTTCGTGAAGCAGATGCGGCGCGCGGAGTACGTGACGATGCTGGACCCGTTCCAGCGCAAGTACGGCAGCCGCGTCGGAGGCCTCATGTTTGTGCCAGCCGTGTGCGGTGACCTTTGTTGGGTGGGCGCCATCTTCAACGCCCTGGGTGAGTGCGCCTGGAGTGAAGTACAAAGTGAAGGAGAGCGGGCAAGCGCCAGGACCAAACGCACTAGGTCGAATGAAATGATTGGTGGTTTCCGGGCACGTCAACAGCTATGGCCATTGGTCTCATTAGTGGACACGACGGGAGAAAAAATTCGCCTGCGATCAGTTTGTTAGGATACTGCTCCAGTATTCGCCATGTATTTACCACAGAAACCAAGGAAAACAATGGATCACAGCAGCCGGAAACTAGAACTCTTCACCAGACAGCGGCTGAATTCGACCTTGCTATCTAGCTAGATCAAATCTACAGAGATGGCTCAGAGCATCAACTGATGTTTCTGCAGCCCCTCTGACCGGGAGATTCTAGGTTCCAGTCCCGACGGTGGCAAGATTTTCGACACTAGCTTGTTAGCTAAGTGGAATTCAGTCGGTGTCTGGAAGATAATTCTAGCGGCCGGCTGCTCTGATTGATAGTTTTCCGTGTTTTTTTCGATCAACGCCAGGCGAACGCCGGAGCAATTCCCTTACAAACAGGCCACGGGCCGCGAGCCATCTCACCTTCCTCTTCCTTGTCCTATCCTCACCCCTTTCACACACTTATTACACTTACACTAACATGCACTACGCTATCACACATGCCGGGAAACCCGCCAGGAGAAACGAGCTCCTCCCGGCTGGGGCGGTTCGCCGCTGGTGGCAGAAACTGGTTGAGGAAAACTCCGTTAGCCACCGGTAGGTCGCCGCCGGATATCACCATACAGTGAGGGAACGATCGCCACCACTTTCCGAGCAAAATCATTCATTACACTTACTGTGCTAATGATGCTGGTAGTTGACGTGCCTGGAATCACTAATCAATCAATGAATTAATCAATCAATCAACCAACCAATCAATCAATCAACCAATCAATCATTCGAAAATTCGCCACCCTCTCGTCTCAAGCTCTAGATAAATCCAGGGAATATTGCACTCCGATTTCAATGCATTAACTTTAAATGTTCGTGGATCATCACCCATCTACTAGTGTTAAAAATCTGTAAGATTATGTTTTTGATAGGACAGGCTGTAGTAATGCGTTGACAAACGTTTCCAAGAAAAACGGTTATAATGTTATCATTATTGGTACTGATGCGAGCAGTAATGACCTAAAAAAGTCATGAAATTTTTAAAATGAACAACTAGGCGTCTGTCTGTTACCGTTGCTTCACCGTGGCGTGTGCCTGAACCGTGCATTATCTGTTCCCTTGCTTCAATAATAATGACAATTGTGTTTCCATTTTTTTTACCATTTCTACCAAGATAATTTTACTTAACATTTTTTTTACTTTGTTGCAGTTAGTTGATTCAGATTTGTACGTAAATCCTTTGTAATACAAGGGCTAAGTGCTAAGTTATGTACTGAATGTTAAACCTCCGACTATCAAGGGCACAAAGTTTGGGGGAGCGATTTCTATACTTCAGAGACCGCGATGGCGAGCGATTCTACAGAGTTCCTATATAAAGTACGACGCATTTAAAATTCCTGCGCCTAAATGCATAGCCATTGTGACCAGACTGCTAAAATCATCTGCGTTGACAATAAATTGCATCTCTTGCGTATCGTGTTGGCGACATCCTGGCGCCAACATATGGACGTGTGACCTGCGCCGTAGGTTCGTCGCTTGTAGTGATCCTGGACTTGGACGCGACATCGTCGGTGATCGTGAGCGCTATTTTCGCCGCCTCGTACACCATGGTGGGCGGCCTCTACAGCGTCATCTACACCGACGTCCTGCAGCTCGGTTGCATCGTCTTCGGGTTGGTGAGTGTTAAAAGAGCACTTTGCGATGCGCCACATGGATCAAAACCTTCTGGAATATTCACCAACGGAGCTCCATTCCCCCCTTGCTAAGGTGACAATTTGAATTTTGTGTTATTCTCTATTATTGGAATCGTGTGTATGTCGCAAAATGTTAATGAACTTGAAAAGATATTGGGTTCCAAATTACTTTTCTTGTTTTTTCGACTAGGGTTTGTTTTAAAATAATAAATGAAAAATGTTTCAATAAGATAATGGACACCGGAATGACAGAATAGTAAACTGGTTGATCACATTTGCAATCTGACTACGATATCTTGGGAAGGCAAGCATTACACTTTAACTTTAAACTCTTATCATATTAATTTATCTTTGGCATAAGAACCAAATAATATTAATTCATGCAAATACAAGCGATACAGTTTTCCTTTCTAGTGTGTCTGAGGTAAGTTGATTCTTCAATACGTTTGATTTCTGCCCGAAATACTCAAAAGGTAATTTGTGTCTTTCAAAAGCATGGGGTCAATTTGAAACGTAATTGAAATTGGTAGCTGTTAAGGATGGTTTATTTTATACATAAGGATGGTAACCAAAATAATTTTTACTCTTAAGATCGTATCAAATAACCAACATTATTTGTCGCTCCTGCGAATTTATAATCTCGATTTAGAAGATTTAGAAATAATATCTAAAATCATATAAATAATAACAATAACTACTCTTTTAAATGCGACCTAAACCACAGAACTCCAAAAGAGTTTATATAGGCTGCTGTCGAGACGTATTCTCCATATCAGCTTTCCTTATATTCTAGAATTTATAAATGTTTGTATTCATTACTTTTGGAAAATAAATTCTGAATGACGTGGAATAATATTTTCGAAATTTTCGGTTTTCCGTGACGGAATGTACAGGAATTTTCTGTGGTAACTTTTCTAAAAGTCTTCCTTTTGTGCGATGTAATCGTATGGGTCGAGCTAGTGGGTAATAATTTCTCAGGCGTTTGCTGTTTAGTCTTCAGAGTGAAAAGGGCAAATATTCGTCCCAACCTAACAAAATGTGTTTTTTCTTTCTCTTCAAGCACTGTCCTTACCTTTTGTCGTTGTCTCCCGTTAATGACAATAGGTGCTTCAGAGTTTTGCCCCTGCACTCAACTTCAGGGAAGTGCATTGTAGCCACAAGGCTACTTGTCGTGTTGCAGCTGCAGAAGAAGTGATCGTAGAGAGACATAGTAAAGAAACTGACCCTGATTTCTCTCCAAGAAAACGTTGCAACATTCTACGTCACCGTCTTAACGTCCGTGTAACACCTCTCTCCAGGCTCAGCACAGTCCGCTCCGGCTCCACCGCCACATCGCTGCATGCTGCAGAACTTTCGCGGGGGCCTCACGGCGTTGCTGCAGCGATGCTTACTCCATTCTGAAACGCAGCGTGGGAAGGCTCCCGCAGCCCATATCCTTCCGTTTGAAACTTCCCAGGTTTACGATTCGGCTCCCTCAGTTTCGTTACGAAATTAGTCGGTTGATTTAAATTTTTTACTTCCAGTAAAATGTCGAATGTTAGTCATTAGTATATACGAGTATAGTATATACGTACAACAAATATGGTACGTATAGTATATTCGTACAACAAATAATGGCACATCACTCTTTATAGAATGCACTATACCCGAGACCTAAAAGAAACGATTTCGCTGGACTGGTTGATTCCGGGTGCGTCAGCCGGTAACGTCATTAGTTCCGTTAAGTGTAATGCATATTTTTATCACAGGAGGTGACGGTGGTCCTTCCCTGCTGGATGGCAAGACCCGGTACCGACCTATCCGTTGTCTTTGAGGGTTTTTGTCTCAAGTATTTCCAACCAGCGGGGCACCGCCCCAGCCGGGACATACTCTAAGCTCCCGTCTGGCCTCTGACATGAATGGCAGGGTAGCGCATCAAAGTCTGTGAAAGGAAATAGGGAGGATAGAACACGAAAGAGGAAGGAAAAATTGCGTGCGGTTGGTGACTCGTTTGCTAGAGTATTGCTCCAGCATGCATATAGCGTTGATCGCAGGAACCAGAGATAACTACCAGTCAGAGCAGCCGGCCGCTAGAATTCTTCTCTGGCCAGCGACAGAATTCGACCCATCTATCTAGCTAGAGTCCAATATCCTGCAGAGCGGTTTTTGATGTGACAGATTTTCGCTTGTCTCTCGTGCAAAAAGAGTCTGGACCAGAAAACCTCAGTGCTCGTGACCACACCAATAGAGTTCATTGATAAGAAGCAATTTTAAAGAAGCCGCGAAATTGTACCGTCTAATTTAGGAGTATGCATTACGTAAACATATGAGAATGAAAAGTGCAGTTTAATTAGGCTGGGGGCGTCGAAAGAAATCTGTATAACAGTAATTACATTTCTACGCACATTTAGTTATCTTATATGAAAGAAAAGAAGCAATAATAAATTAAATTTTAGCCTTAAATATTCCCCACGCTTATTGGTTACCTATATCTCTAAGGTTATAACGTGCGACATGCCGTCCATCTCTTCAAGACGCAAGGCAAAACCGTCAGAGTCATTGCTCTGACCTATGAATTGCTCCTTTCGGAACGAGTGTACGACACTCGAACTTACCGGCACTCGAGAATTAAACGCTCGCGCGAGTAGGAGAGGGCAAATGGAATGCTTTCTTGTCTATAATTATTGAGTATTTACACTGATTTCTATTTAACTCCAATTTGAAACTATAACACATTTGCATTCCACATCTTACTTCAGTGCACAGGATCATATTCTTGTATCAACATTGGCTCTATCGGGTATTAATATAGAAAAATGATAGATGGCCTGGCCACGATGTACTCCAGACCACATATACACTACTTTAATGTTTGACACGACTTAAGACATTAGAGAATGGTTGTTTGAGTTACAAAGCAGATCTTTTGTGATGTCGTGAAAGAATTAAGTATTTGCCACGGGGTAATCGTCACTTGTTTTCTTTTCGTACATTTAGTTTTCCTACTGTATTCCAAGCTTGTAATGTTGGATGAATGTCTTCCAAACAGCAAAAGTGTGTCGTGACCACAATTTAAATAAATGAATTGTTGCCATCAACCAGCCTCGATAGACACGTTAATTTGCTTGTCGCCTCTTTTGGGACAGTGTGGTGAGGGGTGATTGCTGAAGTGGATGGTGCGATTTCAGATCCTGTCGGCGCCGTTCGCCTACAACCACTTGGCCGTCGACCACGAGGCGGTGTGGGAGGTGGACTGGGTGGGCCACATCGCCCGGAAGGACGTGGGCGAGTGGATCGACAGCATGCTGCTGCTCATCTTCGGAGGCATTCCTTGCCAGGTGAGCGCTCTGCCACTTGTGCGCATGTTTCCTTTTTCTTTTTCCTTTTTTTTTTCTTTTTTCTTTTTTTTTTGTTTTTTAAAAGTTTTTTGTAGTGTTTTTATGAACTTAACAAGAGCACCACTATTTGTATGGATTCCTAAGATCACAAATCATCCTACACATGTTTGTTGTTTAAATGCAGAAAAAATGGGATAAAAAATGTAAGCAAAACTGCTTAATTGGCCATTTCCTATCAGATAGTTTGAAGTATTAAACGGATTCAGAATAATTGCTTGTATATAAAAGCTTTAATTAGTTCGATACGTTACTGTGGAACAGGCATCGGCTGAGCACACATCACCTAACTCACCGTAGAAGTGAAATAATAATACTTATATTGAGTTCGTTAAAGTATTAAACGTACTCGTATGTGTATTGATTTAAATTATGTAATCCCTACAGCATTATTTTTCATTAAAATGGCTTTGGAATTTATTTAACATAAAAACTTTGCTTGTTCATTTGTTCCAAATGTTCATTCCAATGGTTTAAACCAATGGTTCATTGAATTCAATCAGTCTTCATTGATGTGCGTTCGGGCCGTGGCCCGATTCATACTTGTCGCGCGATGCACCCACGTGCTTTAGCAATTCCAAGTGGAGTTGGGGGTGGTGGCTGGAAATGAGACTTGACTTTAATGAGCATTAGTAAGGTGTGTACCTTCTATATTTTGGTGTTTAAAAAGGCGAAAAGCTGATCCCCGTAATGACACACGATAACTCTCTTAAGGATAGAATACGACTGGACTTGGAAGAGAACGTGTAGCGTGGTCAGAAATGCTGAAACGCAGATGATGATGATGTTGATGGTTTTGGCCTGCAGGTATACTTCCAGCGCATCCTGTCGATGCGCAGCGTGCGGCAGGCGCAGGTGCTGTCGCTGCTGGCCATGTTCGGGTGCGTGGCGATGGCGCTGCCGCCCGCGCTCTTCGGCGTCGTCGCCAAGTCCACCAGTGAGTCACGTCCCCCTCTCTCTCTCTCTCTCTCTCTCTCTCTCTCTCTCGCCGGGGATTCCCCGCGCGCGGGGAGGAATAATGGCGATGCCCCGGCATTAACACATTACGCAACTTCTGCACATTAGGCTTTCCTAACATTTGCAAGCCAGCAGTCATTTACCCTTCACTCACCCATTGAAGCATGTTTCACTGATTAAATGTACGTCCCTGGATGCTTACAACACATACTAATCAATGGTTTCTTATCTATTCACTTACATGTAGTTTTACTTGCAACTTTCATCTGTTTTCCTTTCCTTTGGGGACGACTATAAGCCAAAGATAAACTGTGAACAGGGACGTTTTTTTTTGTGATGTAAAAATTGAAGTCAATGAAATATTGTTTTAAAACGAACGATTTTTCATCCTGGTGCATTCTTAAGCATTCTTATGTGCCATGGTTTAGCGTGATCGGTTATTGCAGCTCCATGCCGCAAACGTCAGTTCTCATCAACTAACGGGTGCAAATGAATCCTTTGTCAACACGCACATTTCATTTACAATTTGTGAATGAATAGAATCAATTTTAAACGATATTTAACAAAAATATCGGACGTCTGAATGTAACTAGAAATTAAATGATAATATTTAAAAACATAAATATTGAAATGCTCGCAACCGCCAAACGTGATGCTAACTCGTGAAAAACTATTAGGAATTCGCGGCATATCGAAGCTTTTCATCCTCTTGGTACAGTACAGTTATTACTCAACAACTACATTTTTTTAAAAAAAAAGAGCTTTATACCATTTAAAGATCTAAAATTCAGGGATAAATTGCATTGAGAAAGTAATGACTTTATTATTGGTGGCATTGACTTAATGTTGGTAGCGTAGAACAGGATTGAAAATAAATTTTCAAAAGTACTTTCAAAAATTAAAATATCTTTAAAATACTCGGAACGGTACTACTTGCTGAGAACACCAACGTATTTACCAAGTTCCAGCTCGAAAGTTTCTGATCTGGCAGAGTTGTGCCTGACATGTATTTCCATGGAGATCGATATAGCCATCTATCCACCCACATATAGATCCCGATTTTCTGGTACAAAGTAGGGTGTATTTCCTCGCTATTTGTAACAATTTTAACCATCTTTAGAACATCACTAATAGACTTCATTCTTCATGTGAGAAGTGACTTCTCAGAGGAACCTTCAACATGGATTTTATGGCCGAAAAATCGACATCGTATTGTTGAGGCGATTCCAATATTTTTCTTGACTAATATAAATTATAGGGCGGAAAAGGAAGAATACTAGAGTGATAAAAGGGCGAGATTTCAATGTTCTTTCCCGAAGCAGAGCTTACCCCCTCAACAAAATGCGTCAGAGCCGCCTCATCGAATACTTCAAAGTATGAGTAAAACTCGAGAGGCGTCATTAAATTTTGGCCCCTTGCGTGTTCTGGACCACCTCTGCCAGGGAACTGTACTCGTTGAAAGTAGTGTAGACGCGCAGTGAACTAGTGAGTGAAAATTGATATCTCGTTGTTGCACGAATAAAATACGATCATTTGCCCAAAAATGTGTAAGGTATTGCATTCGTTTCTGCCAGGAATCACTCCTTTCAATTGAGGAGGGATTTGAAATTAACTAATACATTGTGGCGTAATTATATTATGCCGCCATAGGGTTTGAATTCACAATTCTTTACAATGCACCGTTAGATAAAAAACACACATACATTTCGTCAAATATAATTCAAATTTTAAATTCATATTTTATTAATTTAAAATAGTTCCATAATACGTGGTATTATTACAATGTATTCTATTCGTATCTACGGAATATGTTAATCTCAGCTCATTGAAAGTTTGAGTACTGAATTGTAGAATTTGAAAGAAAATTACCCGGGTCGGTATGCGACCAATAATAGAGTCAATAATTTATTTCAGTGTAAAGAGTGGAGGGACAAATTGTAACGGTGGATAATATTGCTTCGGTGGATATAAAATGAGGAAGGAAAGAACGAATTTCATCATCACTTTCAGTGAATGTATGCACGTACTACGTTTTATTCCCTCATTTGTTGATCAGCGATGAGAAGTGCACGTCGTTAAAAGAAATGAAACATACTTGTACTGAAACGAACAACAATACGTGTTTGTCAGCATGAAGACAACACGGCTGCGTGCATGCCTCAATTTCGTCTGCGTGCATGCCTCAATTTCGTCGTAGTAGCGTCGGCCCTGTCACGAATTCACTTCCTGGAGTGGGGCGGCCGCAGGGGGAGAGGAGCCGTTAGAAGCCATCGCGGAGGCAACTGCCGCGGAGCTCTGAGAAATGTAACGAGGCCACAGCGACGGACACCGCTGCCGACTACGCAACGCGCTTTGGCCTGCCCTGAGTCCATCCCATTTTCCTACGACCGACCAATTTAAAATTTTTGCTTTCTTAAACGCCATCTGAAATTTGTGGCTGTTTTGTTTTATTTGACAATAATTTACCTCCCACTTAGTTTATTCAAGAATATGTTCGACTTCTGTATTCGTAACTTGGAAATTTAATCAGTTTCACACAGTTTGCTCCCAAGAAAGCAATCTGGTGATATTTTAGGCACTTAGTATTTTTAAGGCACTTTGAGGAAGATTGGTTGTCAAATTCTGGTGTGGATGCTTTACCCTCAAACTACGTGTCGACAGTTCGATGTTACAATGTTTCACAATTGATTGAGTTTTATGTGATATTTCTGTAATTGTTATGAAACGGGGAAGGAATTTGGTTAGCATCACAAAAATCTTTCTTTTTGGACTCAGTTATTCCAAGGGGTTTCTTATAAGCCTTTTGCAAATTCAAGTATCCTATCTGAGGATAACCTCTCCTTCGTTGCCTAGTTTTGATGTGCTGGAACTTTTAATCCTAAGCAGTTTTATACTTTAGTATGATTGGTGCATCTTTCCTTGCTTGCATCACCTTTGTTAGTCCATACAACGTTTTATTCATGTTCATTCTTGTCGAAGTTGCTACCCATTTGACTAGCTGAATGTATCAAGTCAAAAAATAATATGTTGTCATTTACTTGAGTTTATATGGATTACCAGTCTTCTTAACAGTTTGTACGATTGTATGCACACGATGTATATTACATGGAAACAGCTCAAATTAAGATGTAGCAGTCTTCTATTATTTTAATTGTTCAGAATGGCGCGAGAGGAAAACTGAATTACGTGCCCAAAAATAGCCATCTTTCTAAGTGTAGCTGTGGCATTTTTCCAGGACACGGACTTCATGAACAGGCACGGTAGCCACCAAGTAGCAGTCTTCCACTGGGGAGTGTGATATGCACGTTTTTTGATAGTTAATGTTCACGGCAGTGTAACACTTTTGGTTGCAAAGAATCTTCGTTTTTATAATCATTCACATTAGTTTAGTTTCAGATTAGTAGATGATTTATGCAACCAACTCCAAACAAATTAAATAAGATACATTTATTTATTTATCCGTATGCGTCATGTACCAACAGACAACTTGTTTATTTATAACCTCTTCATTAGCCTCATTCCTCCACGACAATGAGTGTATTTCCATTCAATAACGACCTTGCTTGCATGAGACTGATTTCCATTGCCAGACACGAGTGCTAACCTTGCAACGCCGACCTGTGTTGATGATTCGTCTGAATGGAGAGAGCAAGGAAGTGTGTGGTAGTGAGAACGCCCGTCTGTGTTGCAGACTGGACGCAGGTGGAGGACTTCGGTCGCGAGGTGACGCTCGCGGACAAAGAGATCATCCTGCCCCTCACGCTTCGCTATCTCACCCCCAAGGTAAGTTTAGACTTGGGCGCACGCGGTTTCCAGTGTGTGTTCCATGAAAGCCCATAGATTTCCTGAAAATAATATTTAGTTCGGTAAAATAAACGGCATTAGTATTATTAAACAAGCAGAGAAGTTGCAAAGCACAGCAAGTTACATGACAAAGTGCCGATAAAAAAGCGTTTTATATTTCTGATTTCATTACAAGATTAGGTATAATAGTCATTATTCAGGCGATTGATGATTATTAAATTATCGCAACAATTCATGTTATGCTTAAAGCGCAGTGTAGTATTTCACATCATTTCACCATTTTCGGTGCCTTGAAATCTCCGTAAACGTTTTTTTTAGAATTCTTCCAGAATAATGTAGAGGGATCCGGTTAAAAATAGTCAATCACTTGTCGAGAGGAATATAATGAGTAATTGATCATCGGTGAAAGTGTCTTAATTTCTACCTTCAATTGCGTTATAGGTCTTAAACTTCCTCTTCTCAAATGCTTTCTTTCGTGAAACACGGAAATTTCACGGTTACATACATGTAAGATTAAGTACCAATTACATAAAAAAACTACATTTTGATTAGAAATCTGTTTTTCATACTTATATCAACATTCGTTCGCGTTGTCTATAAGGAAATTGTTTATGTATGTTGTTATTTATTATTTTAGAAAAGTAAATATAACTACTTAAACCGACGCTTTCTTTCAGTGGGTGTCCTTCTTCGGCCTCGGGGCGATCTCCGCAGCCGTCATGGCCTCTGCTGACTCCAGCATCCTCTCTTCCAGCTCCATGTTCTCGCGCAACATCTACAAGCTGGCCATCCGTCCTCAGGCAAGCACAACTCAGAATTATCTTGTCACTTGCCCCAAAAGTGTTCTTTTCAACACATTGTGAAAACTTTCTGCATACGTTTTATGAGACGGGCCGACTGACGGGCCGACTGACGGACCGACCGACTGACAGACCGACTGACAGACCGACTGACAGACCGACTGACGGACCGACCGACCGACCGACCGACCGACTGACGGACCGACTGACGGACCGACCGACGGACCGACCGACCGACCGACCGACC